GCTATTGGGAAATACGAAAATAAATAAAGTGTGGTATCTACCTTTAAGTACGTTACAATCTAGTGGGAGAAACTCGTATGTAAATGGCTGATTATGATACAAGGCAAAGTGATATAAGCATTAACTAGAGGATAAGCTCATCCATGGTAACACAGGTAATGGAGCAATTAATTCTAACTGAAAGGGAATCAGAAGCTCCTTTGTAAAGGTGGTGGCATTTGAGAAAGTTATAAAGAATAATTATAACTGTAGAGGGCCAGTAGAGAAGAAAAGGTGTTTCACTGCTGGAATAAAATTAGCATAAGCATATAGGTTCAATTCAAGAGTTGTTTTGTTCTGTTTCATTTTAATCTAGCACATGCGAGACATTATGGTAGGCTTTGGAAGAGATGCAAAGAGAAACAATACAAGTTTTCTTTTCTCCTATAACTTAACTTCTGTTTTGAAAGAAAAGTCATTTCTATATAAATATACCTGAAGAGTTCATCAGTAACATATAGTTGCCTGTAACAATGTACCTGAGTGGCAAGTCCTTTAAAATCTACAGCACAGGAGACCAAGAAGAGCTCACTATTTCCAGAGAGAGTAAAAAAAAGGTTTCTAGAGTACACGGGGGTATGAGCTGTTTCTTGAAAGGTGGATAAAATTTGATGTGATAAATAAGGCGCAAGGGTATTCAAAATGACAGGTACAGCATGGACAAGACCTAAAGGCAGAAATGATCCTGGTATGCCCATGTGATTGTGAAAGCAACAACTTAGATGGAGTAGAAGGTGCCTTTCGGCCCATGCTAGGAAGAAAAAAACAGAAATTCACGTTTAGGTGAATTCAAATGCCTACAAAGTTCAGGTAGGTATATTAAGTGAGCAAAGCAGACTGGGCATATAATGAGAGGTAATAAAGGAGACTATGGCCCAGTCTCAACCAAAAGAAAGACACTACTAATCTCCATCCATTTTCGTTTCCATGGTAAACTCTGCTGTAGTGTTGCCAGAACCTCCAATTTGTTACGATAGGCCATTAATCTGGATATATATATATATGTATGTATATGTGTATATGTATATATATTCATATATATAATTAGAAAGTAATTCTTATAATAAAACATAAAACTTTGTTGGTCAAAACTCTACTGGACACATAAGAATTCTCTGAGTCACACTGAATCACATCCAGTATGTGGACCACTGAGTTGCAACCTCTGCTGGACGGTAGTGGGCAAAGACTGCTGGAACTAAAGCTTCTGTTTTATATCCTATAGCCATTTAAGATTATAAACAGAGATGCAACATAAGGACAGTAGCTAAAAAATGTTTTAATTAGGCTACAAGAATGCAGGCTATTTGTATATGAAAACTATTAAATAAAGGAAATTGATCGGAATTACTAACTGCTATTAAAGTTTTTAAAATGTTTTTTAGAGAAATTCATCTTAAAAGTCTATCCATTGTTTCAACCGGTCACAAGAAAAATTTACAACAAAAATTTGGAAATATTTATTGGCTCTAAATTGTTCTCAACTGTCTCATTTGCCTTTAAGAAGAAAAATTGCAGCTATACGACTCTTCTCCACTCTAACAGGGGAAAGGGTTCAAGTTTGGGCCTGAAAGAGTACTTGATGAATGACACTTTATTTGCCATCACTACCAGTTGCCAATGTTGGAGGCCACCAGGATGTCTTGGTCAGGTTCATCTGTGTGTTTGTTATGTTTTGGTCCATGAGCCTAGCTGACTTTGAAATCAGGTGGAGTTTGAGTGTTTGCAAAAGATGCTTTGGGTCCTGCTGATTTCTGAATTGATAGAATTCATAAATCACTTACAAAAAATATTATGTGTGTCCACTCTTTGTTTAGGTTTTCTCCCAGCCGAGTGTGAAAAAACTGAAATTGATGTTAGGTATACAACTTCTAAGCCTTCACATTGCAATCCAGAAGGCTTGTTATTTAACAAAAAAGCTAATATTTTCTCTCCCCTACTGGGAATTCCTGACAGGTAGAGGAGCTTAGTAACAGGGAAGAATTGGGCGGAATAAAAATTTCTCATGGAGATTACAATACTCCGCCACAGTCTGAATGAAATGCAGCATTCCAGATGTTGCCTACATTTCACTGAAAACCAGCTGGTTGATTTTATGAACAATGCAAATCCTGCAATGTAACAGGGCTTCTCTAAGTGCTGATAAAACACTTAGAAGATCAACAAATCTTGAAAATGTGCTAATGAGCCACGAAGTCTGATTAAAAGCAAAGGTGCAATGTTCCAAAAACATTCTTTGTGATTTAGAGAAGTATGGCTTAGGTTTCATCATTGATGACAGTACTTTAAAGGCAAATTGTGCAAAGATAAAAACATCTCATTAATAAGAACAATTCACAATAGCTCCTTATTGAGTTATTTTCGGAAAAAGGGTTAAGACCTGAGAACTGCATAAAAGGAAAAGAAAGAAAGAAAAACAGGCCACATATACAGACCATTCACTTGCTAAAATATGAACTATTAAGGCTTCATAACATAAAACATGACATTTTGAATTATTTAATTTGATGATTATTTATAAATAGTAAGTCCAAGTTATGGGCAGATGTGAACAAAGATGAACATCTTCTGTTACTTAATTGTGGAGGATAGAATAGTTGGAAGTATTTTTCATAGACAATATCTCTATGGGAGAGAAAATGCTCACATATTTTAGCTTTGGTTAAGATCAAACTGATCAAATTAGCATTTTCATCTAATTTATTGCTCAGAATTCCCTTTAGTGAGGAATGCTTTTGATAAATTTCAAGGAAAGCTGTGTTTGCAGAAAAGTTTGAAATTAGACATAAAAAACCCAAAATGAGAAGATTTTAAGATAAGCCAAAAAGTATCTAAAAAACTAAAACGACAAAATTGGAAAATCATAAACTATACTGTTATATTACTAATAAGATGTGACTTATACAGAATAACCCAGCATTATTCCATATTTATTGTATTTGTATTTGGGGTACAGGACATAATTTACCTGGAGAATTTCAATTAAAGTTACATACACGTAATTAGAGGAAAAAGGATTTCTCTCTCTTCTGATTGAATGATAATGTAGCCATATTGGTTAGTTATTTTGTAAGGTCATCATAAATCATACAGGTATTAACAAAATTGTAATTAAATGTGTAAATAACTTTGTTTCATTTTTGTTTTCTGATTTCAGATTATAAGAATTGATTGTGAATGGAGTGTTCCCACAACACATTTCACATTCTGGATACTTCAAAATTTCACTTCCACTTCTTTGCGTATGAAGTCCAGATATGGGTGCTATACTATAGAGAATAAAACTATAAACTTAGTACCTCATACAGACATGATGACTATAAGAGTGTGTTCACAAGACATTACCAATACGATTACAAAACTGAGACAGAAACAAGATGTAGGTACAATTTTGGTAGACTTTAGTCAGTTCCCTATAGGACATTTTTCACTGGCTAAAAGGAGAACCACTGATGCCTTCTTCTTTTTACTTACAATTCTATCCACAGAAGGTAGAAAAAAATCAGAGAACTCTGTACTTGATTTTGACCAACAGGAAAGGACCAGCTAAATTTAGTTTAGGGAAGAGATGCTGAACTACTCTAACACAATTACCTCCTTAAGCAAGTAAATGTATCGCCACACCTCACTGATAAAGCAACTACCCTGTACCCTATTCGTGACACCAGTGACTTTTGAGTAGTATAGAAATATCATATCAAGAGTTGCAAATACACCTCCTTCATCTTTCCTTAGTATATCTTAAGCATTTCATTGTTTTAGAAATATTTTTAAAGATACTGAGAAAACTATGCGCCAAGATTCATTAATGAGTTCTGTATCAACATGCTAGGAAAAGAGCAACACTAGTCATCAGGTCTCTACAAAACTTGCCAAGTCTACCTTGTGGTACAGCTCTTCAGAACTATTCCCTAACGAAGGCTATTCAACTGCTGATAAGCTTATCTTTGTTAATTTCAAGGAGCAGCTTCCTCTCCCCCCAAATCACCCATCTCCATCCCTTCTACCCCTTTCACAAAACAAGTATGTACATCCAAACGTAATATGCCCCATGCATAATATGAACAATTCTCTAGGTAGGATCAATGACTTAAGTATGGAATTTCAAATATTTTAGGAATCATGGGTCCACTGTCACTCTCCTCTTATGAAGTAATTAATAAGAAAAATTCAGCCTGAGGTTTTCACAGATTACAAGGGCTTTTCACAAGAAAAACTACTGCCATGATGACTTCTAAAGATGGTTGGCTGCCCTCATTCAAATTGTATCCACTGTTTTTGAATTCATATGAATTTAAATGCTTCTTTGAATGTTCCATAAGTGTCTTGGGGAAATGTTAATAACAGTGCTAAAATAAGAATACTATTTTAATGTGTGATTCAAAAACTAAGCATTTATTAGCTGATTTCAGAAAATATTAACTTCGGGGCTGCAACCAAAACAAAATCCTGGTCTGGTATTTCTTAAGTAATCAAAGATTATGTGAAAGAACAAAATAGTGTTTTGCAAACAGATTGCAAAAGAAGGTAGAAAGCATTTCTCTGGAAACATAGGACAAGTTTGCTCTGTTTAAGCAATGTAAACAAAAACCTGGGGGGTACCAATCAGACAGCTAAAAGAGAGCTTGGAAACTATTACATACTTATCGCATCTGGCCTAATTATATCTCTTACCAACTCTAGCATTACTAAACATTCATAAGTGGCTAAAGGCCTGTGGGTAATTTATATAATGCATATATGTATAAAAGCCTTTTTTCTCCAGTGAATATATTTACTTCCCAGAGATAAATTTCAAATCACACAACCACAGGATGCAAGCCCCTATCAGATAGTAGAGCAATCTATTTCAAAACAAGCCACACAGACTGAGATCTCCTTCCCATATGTATGAATATTTGGTAGCTATGTAGATGCAAATGTCAGGAAGAGAGCAGCTGTTATTGGGGACAGAGACTTACCAGTACTTGTCAGGAAGTTAACATTTCTCATCACACCTTCTGTGTAAGCTCCCGGCTCGTAACTGTCCATTTCACCTGTGACAATGTGAGCAACTCTTGCGGCCCGTCCTCTGATAGCACCTGCAGCTCGATCTAAATTATCAGCATCCTGGTCTCTCAAGGCTATGATACATTTGTTGACATCTTCTAGGATATGGCTCTCTGTAAGTAAACAGGTCAAATTAGTTTCGCGTTTTTTTTTTTTAATCACACAAATCTAGCATACTATAATTCACGTTAATTTCTGGTTGCGGATAATGTGCACATTGGGAATAAAAGACATTGACAACTAAGAAGAAAAAATACAGATGTGACTTTGCTTATACCTTTTTCAATAGCTCATCTTGTAAAACAAAAATTTTGCATTTTTATCGGCAAATTTTACAGATTGCATCTTATTTTAGATTCTACTCCCAGTAGATTAGATTTTAGATTTGAGTGACTTACAGATGGAAATTAAGGAAAGATTCTAGATTGAAACAAAAATAAAATGTATAATGATGGAATACTTAATCCTGATTAAGTACAATACTATGCAGATTATGAAACTCTTAAAAAAATCACCCGCCCTAAGTATATAGAAAAATAACTATGGTGTTCCATTCAACTAATGTTCACTGATATACGATATTTAACACAATTACAGAAATATTATAAATTAGCAAATGATGAAAAAGGTGAAATATATAATTTTATACTGTAAAGCAATAACCTCACTACATCTGTGAAAAGACATATATAAAAAGGGCTTTAAAAGGATCGATTGATTTGAAGTAAATGAATCCCAGAGAAATTTGCTCACTCTGAAGAGTATCTCCAGACCTCTTTCTCTCCTTCCTTCTTTGCATGATTAAGGCATGAAGACCGCTGGGAGTTATTAGTATAGTCCAACAATGTTTACTTTTTCTATAAAATGATTAATACTCCCGGAATAAAACTAATGAGTGGAGCTGAGTAAATATGTAGAATATCAACAAGCATGGGCAATGATATTTCTAAGAAATTAAAAGAATACTAAAGAAATGGTTTCTATTTTTATTAAATGAATCCCCACCCCAAATCTTTAAAGACTCTACTACTTCAAAACACACAGAGAAAACAACTACAACAAAAAGGCCTCAGTAATTCCAGAACATATTGTTAACTTCTCCTTCCCCCTCCCCCTCCCCATCTCCCCCTCTCTCTCCCTCTCCCTCTGCCTGGATTTGCTGACTTTCTGCAGGTAAGCTACACAAGACAGGTATTCATAAAGCTATTTCCTTGCAGAGTCACACCTTCCTCTTATTTTGTAGAGCATAATATCCAGACCATCAAAGAATATGGTCGTTGGTGAACTTCTTAGACCTGATGTCTACTATTCCTCTGCAGGTCCCTCATGCTTTAGTTATATGTATTTTACAATTTTCCAAATCTGCCATGTTTTTTCATGCCTCTGTGCCTGTGGGCATATTAGAACCTTGACCTAGACTGTTCTTTTGGGTTCCTGGACCCAATGTCAACGTGTGTGTGGGGGGGGGGGCTTCCCCACAACAACAAGCAACTCTCTGTACACCAGCTGGGTGACCTGTAATTCAACTCAATTCTGACACCATCTACCTGGAGATAGCATCAGATTCCACAGGTTAAGGGTTTAGTCCCACAAGACTATCCCTTCCCACCCCCCTACAGACACCAGTCAAAAGCCTAGATCGTTACCTGTGCTTCTGCTACAATTTGAAGGTTGCCCCCTTCTGGACTTCAGACGCTGGTCCAACTTCAGGTTGTTACATATTATTTCTGACCAACTAGCTATAAATCAGAGGTTCCCACAACCTCCTTTTTAGGTTTGATTATTTTGCTTAGAGTAGCTCACAGAACTCCGAGAACCATTTTACTTGCTAGATTTAACTTTTGTAACTGAGGACCAGCCAGACGGAAGAGACGCAGAGGGTAAGGTATGGGGAAAGGCCCAGAGCCCCATACCCTCTCCAGGCATGCCACTCTCCCCAAATCTCCATGTGCTCACCAACCTAGAAGCTCTCCAAAACCCATCCTTTTGGGATTTTATGGAGGCTTCATTACATAGGCATGATTGATTAAATCACTGGCCGTTGGCAACTGATTCAGCCTCCAGCCCCTCTAACCTTCCCAGAGGTAAAGGGGTGGAACTAAAAGTTCTAATCACATGGTTGGTTGCCCTGTCAACCAGCCCCCATCCTATGGTGGGGGGGTGGCCCCAAAGTCATCTCATTAACATACAAAAGACAGCTTTATGGCCCTCATCACTCAGTGCATTCCAAGGGTTTTAGGAACTCTGTGCCAGAAACAGGAAAAGACCAAAGACATGTTCTTATTCTAAATCACAATATCGTAATTGCCAATCCCCTCTGTCTGCTTGCTCAACTCCTACTATTCTTCTTTTTTTTTGGCCATGCCTCATGGCTTGCAGGATCTTAGTTCCCCTACCAGGGACCAAACCCGTACCCCCTGCAGTGAAAGGGCAGAGTCCTAACCACTGGACCACTAGGGAATTCTTTACTATTCTTTTAAGACACTAGTTAAATGTCCTGCCTCAGGAAATCCATGCTGACCTAGAATAAGGCAAACTTTGTTCCAAGTTGTTTGGGGTTCACATAAAATGGTTTGTATGTTTTCATTAGAGCTTCTTTCTGTGTTTTAGTGATATACTAATGAAACTATATCTCTAGTACACTAACAAATATATATGAGTGCAGGAATTTTATCTTATTCCTTGAGGTATCTAGCCCTTGGTACAGTACATAGCACCTGTTAGGTTAACCAGAATGTTTGTTGAATGAATGAATGAAGTCTTCTTATAAGATGCACCTGGGAACAGTACATTATTTTGTCTAAATCCTAAATCATGGGTTATGAACACTGGTAGACACATTTCTGTAGCCTTAAAATTAGTCAATTTAAGCCACATTAAGGACAGTAAGTTCATTTGCATGAAAAAGATTAAGTACTGAAAACCTTCATTATAAATTCACTGGAGTTTTAACCTAATTTGTAGCATTCAGTTATGAATGTGTCATTAAGGCCTGTAATAAATCGAGGCACAGTCCCATCTCAACAGAAAGCACATGTGTATCATCAGCATCATGTTTCCCTTGGAACTGAAGTACAAGTATAAATGTGGAAGGCGTAATAATGATCAGTTTTTTAAAAATCCACAGATGTGCCCTTTAATGACACATTAAGAAGCTGTTATTTTCCAAAGTATGTTGGTAAGTTTTTTTAAAAGCAAACACAATATATATGTATCCAATGCATGTTTAATCTGTATTCACTAAAGGTGCTTAATTTTAGATTGCAGAGTTGTTCTCAGTTTCTCAGTTCTGTGAAAGTGAAAAGATATTTAGGAAAGAAAAAACATTGTTCATTTTTGGAAAATTAATTATCTAATAAACTCAGTAATTTCTGTTTAATTAAAGGTGAAATTATAGCTGTCACAAACTATTTTTTTCCTATGAATTTTTCACTGGAAAAAATACAAAAAATACTAACAATGAATGTTCACTTCTATAAAACAATGATATATATGCTTCACAATTTATTTTATTACTTTAAATGGAGAATAAAATATACAGTAAGAATTTTTCTGATTCTTTTTTGCTTGGCCTTATAGAAGTTTGTGTGGTTATTGCTTTAGATTGTGCAACACAATCAGAAGCCCTGGTGTTAATTATGTTGAAGAACCATAGAGTTAAGGTCAGATATGGAAATAAAAACCTTACATGAAAATATACAATATAAAAAATAAGGAAAATAAATGACAAGAAGCATATACCCAGCGTTTATCTGAAGCAGCTATACTGAGAATGTCGGAGATGATGACTAAATGATCTTTTGAATTACTAAGATTAAATATAGCGCAGAAGCATTAGGAAAGGTTTGCAAGATTTCCATTATTGTGACACTTCCCCATTATTCTGAATGTTTCACAAAATGCCAGCAACAATTATTTGCATGAAATTCTAAACACAGAGTACCAGAAAAAGAAAAAAAATATTGGGCACCTCCCATATACACAGTAACTAAACATTAAGCTAATGTCTTAAAAACAAGTATTTCTTTATTTAAGGTGAACTTAAGTAGTTAAAAAGGCCTTCATGATAGCTTGAGTTTTTATGTCTAGATATATAAATCCACACCTATAGGAAAGAAATAAAACACCAAATACTTTGCATAAAACTTTCTACTGACATATCTCTTAAGTCTTCGCTGATGGAATGAGTTCACTCATTAGACGCAGAAAAAATCATTAGGAACTCTACCTCCAATTTATTTTTTTTCTCAACTGCACATGTACTTGGATTTAACAATTACATAACTTTTACAATGAGGTTTAAAAGAAAGAAAATACGTTATTATAAAACAAGTACACTTGGAAAACAGTTGACCGTTGAACAATGCTGGCGCTAACTCGTGTATAACTTGTGTCACTAGTTGTCCCTCCGTATCCCCAGTTCCTCTGCAGATTCAACTAACCATGGACGGTGTAGTACTGTGATATTTACTGTTGAAAAATATCCTCATAAAAGTGGACCTGCGCAGTTCAAACCCATGTTGTTCAAGGGTCAACTGTAGTATATGTTTTGAAGGATTGATTGAAGATTTGTCTTAATCGTTTCAAAGTGTCAGCTTAACATTTGATTTGGGGTGAGGGGTGAAATGTCCTAGTATTACTGCAAATCCTGAAGTACATTATTTTAAGAGCAGAGAATAGCTGAATGACTGACTAGCAGTTACTGTCACTCATTTTATAGCTATCCTGAGATGCAAAGGATGATTTTTATTATGCTGGAAAACAGTAATAAAGAGGGCAATAAAGGAACTGATCTTAGACTGCAAGACATTTCATTTGTTGCAAACTTCTGTGGGTGGCTCCATCTTCAGTCATCGCAGCAAGTGTAGCACAATAAGATTTTGAAATATATTTAAAATTTTTTTCGACGATTTTTTTCTTAATTCTTCAGTTTTCTACAATTAAAGCTAGAACTTGCCTCAGGGAAAGTAGAAAACAACATACAAAGCAGAATTTTATAAATCCATAACCCAAAGAACAGACCTAAAGTAGAAGGACATTTTATTCGCAAAAGCCACACTTAAAGTTGCTTTCTTTTAATTCCCAAAGCTGGGCTTTGAATACATCAATGGCA